TGTTTAACTTTTTTTAATAAGATTAATTCGAGAGCCTTTGGTTCTGGTTAACACCACGTAACTGCAATGATATTAAAAAAACATTTGCCGCAATAAAACTGACAGGCGCTGAATTTAAAACCAATTTTTCTTACAAATATATTCAGTATGCACAACTATGACTCATAATAACGTATCTCGAAAGTTTAAAAGAAACGTGAGCATTGAATGTGTGTTGTAACTTGTCGCAGTTTCACGTCACTAGGCGGGGGTATGGGTGGCGCGGCGGGCGGGTTGTGCGACCGGCGCGCGTATGGCCGCTCCTTCAACACGCTGGCTCTCGCGCACGCCACTGCTGAGGACAAGGATCGAGTGCCGGAACGAATTGCTGCACTCACACTGGCTCATGAGATGGGTAAGAGAAACCAAAGAAGTCTTCAAAAAATCATGTCGGACATTATAACCGTCCACTATAAAAATAGATCTTAATAAGCATGTCACTAAAGCGAATCATTTTATTTGACTTTGTTGTAAAGAATTTTGCATGAAAACCAAACTTCCCTGAGTAATTACTTCATAATAAACGGATTCTAATGTAATTAAAACTACAAATATCGCGCAAAAATAAAAATATCTCACATGGGTTTTTTGCCATATTTGCAGGTCACAGTTTCGGTGCCCATCACGATGATAACTTCCCAAACCCAGAATGTCGCGGTTACCTAATGGGTTCCCAGTCGTCTACAACAGAGAGCATACATCACTTTGAGTTCTCTCTGTGCAGCAAGCGACTCATAGCTGCCACGCTAAGTAGTATGAGTTACTGTCTTATTGAGCAAGACAGACCTTACTGCGGGAATGGTATGTTGATAATGAGTCGACCGCCTTACATATTTAATTCGTTAAGAAATGTATTTTAGCACATTTGCTATTTATTTTTATCAGGTGCTTTACATAATCTTTTCATTAGGTATCGTGGAAGAAGGAGAAGCCTGCGACTGTGGTTTACCTTCGCACTGCAGCCAGAGAGACCCGTGCTGCACACCACGGGCTGGTGGCGCTCTGGTCTATGAAGAAGGGTAAGGACTACCTACGAGAGATATTTTTCAAACAGATTAAGACAGATGAGAAAGTGTTACATGGTCATAAAAACCGTCTTATTGTAATTAGGGCGTTGCACAAGGAAGGGTGCTCTGTAGCGCCATCAGCGACTTGCCATCCATCGCAAGGTCTGTGCTGCAACGCCGATTGTCAGTATGCCGACCTCAAGGAACACGGTATAGTAAGTTAATGTTGAACTAATCCTTTAAACATATGTGCTCTATTTATATTCTATAGTGCGACATACTTATCTAATATTGTGGTTAATAATGAAAAAGTAGATTTTTTTTTTTTTTTTTTTTTTTTTA